AGGCAGTATAAAATGCGGTGCACGCGACAATTACGTCAGAATCTTCTCCTTCACTTTGCTGAATAACCTAAGAATATGGCTTATAAACTATTACAGCTCACAGTTAAGGTTCGCTCATCAGAGGGCGGTGCCTGGATTGCCGCTCCTCTGCAGCGTTCAGGTGAGTATGACATTTTTCTTCAGATACCAGATGAGTCCGTCTGCCCTCGATCAGTGGTGGACCTTAAGGACTCTGGTGATGAGCTCATGCCGACTAAATGTCCGCATTCCTCTCACCCATCGAACCTGCAGGACATCAGCCTGACTTCTCAGAGCGGCCGAGTGCAAAGCACAATCACTGGCTCCTCACTCATTCACACGATACCAGCCCCTCATCAGCGGCTGCCGTGTTTGGAAGACACTTCTCTCTTAAACACACGATACCAGCCCCTCATCAGCGGCTGCCGTGTTTGGAAGACACTGCTCTCTTAATCGCACGATACCAGCCCCACATCAGCGGTCTGCCGTGTGTAGAGGACTACGCTCTCTCACTCATTCAAGAAGATATGCAGCCCCCACTTCAGTGCGGCGACAAGCGCTTCAGTCGCTTACCCACTCACCAGCAGTAAAGCGGCCCCCGCCTCAGAGCGGCAGTGAGTCACCTGATGCCCCTGCGCAGAAAAGCGTGCGAAGGCAAGGAGTCACCTGATGACCCTGCACGGGAAAGCGCATGAAGGCGAGGAGTCACCTGATGCCCCTGCGCGGGAAAGTGCCTGAAGGCGAGGAGTCACCTGATGCCCCTGTGCGGAAAAGCGCGTGAAGGCGAGGAGTCACCTGATGCCCCGGCACGCGTCCTATCAGCCTTCCAGACTTCGCTGGACTATTACGTCAGTTGTTCACGCCCCTACGAAGTGGTGTTCAACTAGGTCGTATAGCCATTCACAGTCTGTAGTGACAGGCGCAGATGCCGCCACCCACACCGGTTAAAAAGCGTCATGCAAAGCTATGAGCCACGTGATGCCGAGGCGCGCTTTCCAGCAGCAGACCGTGAGATCGAGGTCTTCTTTGGCGCACGACTCATCGCAGTGCGGAGGAGCCCGCGCCGTGACTCCTGCCTGCCGTCAGCTGCCAAGCCGTTGTCCTGACAGCCTGGAGAGGAGGGAAGAGTACGCGATCGGCCCAGCCCCCAAGCGCCACAAGCTGTCTCAAAATTTTTCACATTTGTGTTTGATGAGTGTGTGATCATTAAAAAATGCATACATTTGCACAAAAGAGCTCTTTCCTCCTCACTCAGTCAATGTAGCACCACTCGACCCGCCTCAGAGTGGTGCAGAGCCGCTGCCCACACAGGTTATAGCCACGCAGCACTCGCCGGCGCATCCAACAACCAAGTCGCTAAAGCCGCTATGTCAGTTCCTGAGCGCGTGGAAAACTATTCCGGGAATCTTGCGCTGGTTACTTTAGGCTTCGGTGACACTCATCGCCCCGAACCGGCCGAACCAGCCTTGGTTCCCAGACCTGACAAAGCTGCTGGTGGCGCCGCCCTGGCCGATCCCCATCAGGAAGGATCTGCTGTCTCAAACGAGCGGCTCGGTGTGGCATCCCAACCCGGAGTTATGGAGCCATCATGTGTGGCTGCTTCGGGGATATCAGAGGAGCTGACCACCCTGCATTCTCGTGTGCTTGACACGCTCCCGGAGGCCCGGGGCGCCCTCCATGAGACGTTTGTATGCTCTAAAATGGGGAGTGTTTGTGGTGCCGTGATGTTCATATCGACCCAGCTGCTTGCTCCGTGTCGGATGTTCTGCGTTTTCTACAGTACAGGCTAGATAGTGGATGTCTACCATCAACACTGAAAGTCTATGTGGCCGCTATTGCCTCGTTTCATTCCCCGCTGGGTGGGCAATCGATTGGTAGGCATGCGCTGGTGGTGAGTTTTCTTAAGGGGGCGAGGAGATTGCATCACCCGCGTCCGCCTTCAGTTCCACCCTGGGACCTAGAGGTGGTGTTAAGAGCTCTTTCACAGCCATCATTAAAAATCGGACCCAGTGACTGCAGCGTCCCTCTCCGGCCGAGACCGGGCTACGTGCCTAAACCACTATCTACCCCCTTCAGAGTGCAGACTGTTTCGCTGTCTGACATGTCTTCCGAGTCATCGACCTTGCGTGATGCGGACGCTCAGATTTCGGTGTGCCCCATCAGGGCTTTGAGTATTTTCATTGACCTTTTGGCCAGCTTTTGACCAGCTTTTCGTGTGCTACGGTGGTTGTGCGAAGGGCCGGGCCGTGTCAAAAAGGAGGCTTTCCCACTGGATTGTGGACGCTATCACGGCTGTTATATGAGCCAAGGTTTGGAATGTCCTTTGCACATTAGGGCCCACTCAACAAGAGCTATCGCCTCCTCCTGGTCGTGGTTGAGAGGTATGTCTTCAGGATATATGCTTTGCAGCCGGCTGGTCTTCTCAGAATACCTTCGCCAGGTTTTACAAGCTGGACGCTCAGTCCTTAGCCTCCCAAGTGCTGTCGGTGAGTGACTGATTC